CTCCTACTTGAGTGAGCGATGCGTCCGCGTGGACAGCTGCTATACAATAATAGATTTCCATTTACCTCCTTCTCTATATCCATAAAAAATATCTATCAAACAAATAAAATTAAAATTTTCTTTTGAAAAATGAAACCATTCCATCAGTATTTTCTTATGACGTTGTCACGTTCAACTATTGTCAGTAAACTGACTTTACAGACAACCGATTTTCTTTTCTGAAGAACTGTAACGTTTAAAAAAACACACCGACGGTTCGCTTTGGGCAAAAGACTCTTTAAGGGCTAATATTCAAGAAGCCGATTTTTCACAAGTTATAAACATCCTTCTGTTGCAATATTTTGAATTTGAAAGCCCCGCCTTGTAAGTATCTACGGAAATGTTATAAAGGGTTAATCACCAATGGTGACATTCGTCACACCCTTGGCATTTGTTCCTAGTTTTAAGTTCTAGATGTATGAAGTGACCATGCTCCTAGCTTCGCTTTTTAGGCTCCTAGCTGCGCTTTTTAGCGTGAGCGTCCACCCAGCACTTCAGTGGTGGATCACCTAGTTCGGTTTTCCTTCCCAACACTCCCTTCTACCCCCCCCTCTTAACCCTCTTCCCATCTCAATTCTATCCCCAATCTCCAGCCTTCCATTTTCCTCACGGGGATGAACAACCCACAGGGTTTATCTCCCCGCTCGGGAAGGGGTTTTAGTCGGTAACAATCCGACACTACCTCCCTCCAGGGGGTGTCTTTTCAAGATTTCCCTTCCTCGAGAATAATATAAACAAAAAAAAATGCAAAAGAAGGACTTGAACTAGCATAAGCACTTGAACTAAAACTTGCACTTGTAGAGTCATAATTATTCATTCGTTTGGAGATACTCTGTAAAAATTTGTAAATATATATCTAATAAGTTGACTTCGCTGCAAGATATTCGCCTTGCAATAGTAACTTCTCGAATATCTGCCTGTGAAACTTAACAAAGAGCATTAATTAAATAAATGAATAGGCATTCAGGAAACATGAACACATACCGGTATGTAAATATTGTAAATTAATATTACAACATTGGAGTATCGATTTTAATAATTACATATGTAAAGAACTTCCAGATAACATTTGTGAAAATAATTTATAGTCAATATAGGTATGCCTTATGACTCTAAGCCACCATGGAAACACATTCAAAATGTCGCTTCGCTCAACAAACCGCCGAATAGTATGCATCACGGTACAGTGGACTTCGAGTGACCCAGCTGTGATCTGTCAATTATTTGATGAACAACTGAGAGTAAACTATGTAACCGATGACACATCCCAGCTTAATCCCTCACTCAGTGATACGGTTTTTCCCCGTGATTTTCAGTTAGACAATGTTGTTATCTCGCTTTCTACCGTTTTTGATGCCATAGGAAAATTAGATTGTAAAAAAGGTACCGGACCAGATGAAATTCCAAATTTATTTTTATTTAATTGCAAGTACTCGATTTCGGTTCCGCTCCATTTACTCTTCAACAAATCCCTTGCTAGCGGCTCGTTTCCAAAGATGTGGAAGCGAAGCAAAATTTTTCCTATATTCAAAAAAGGTGACAAATCGTTTGTTGGAAATTATCGTCCTATTGCTATTCTAGACTCATTACCGAAATTATTCGAAAAAATTGTAACGTCTGAACTGCGCGCGTATCTATCTATCACCAATGATATGTCCGGAACAGCACGGGTTCGTTCCCTGTAGTTCTACTGTCACTAATCTCGTTTGTCTTAAAGTCGCGGCTCTCGACGCACTCGAAAGGAACTCACAACTAGACGTGATTCACACGGACTTTGCTAAAGCATTCGACTAAGTGAATCACCACGTGCTCATAGCTAAACTGAAATCTATCGGCATGCTACCGCCTATGTTAGACTGGATTGAGAGCTACTTGACCGATCGGTTTCAGTATACCAACGTGTATGGTTGTTGCTCGAATGATTTTGACACTCCTTCAGGGGTACCTCAAGGGTCTCATCTTGGTCCCTTGTTATTCACTGTTCTTATAAACGACTTACCACAATATGTTACCCATTCGTCTATTCTTTTGTATGCGGACGACGCCAAGATATTCAGAGAAATTACGTGCGATGAAGATGCTATCCTATTACAACTCGATCTGAATAATGTGAGTGTATGGTGTGAGAGGAATCGTTTATTTTTAAACAATGCCAAGTGTCAAAAAATTAGTTTTACGAAAAAAAGGGAGCCAATCGAATTCAGTTACATGCTGGGTACAGATATCTTGACTACGGTAAATAGTGTTAGTGATCTAGGAGTCACTTTCGATTCTAAATTGTCATTCACTTCTCATATTGATCATGTATGGTGAAAGCACATCAAATGTGGGGTTTCTTGAGGCGAAATTGCAAAATTTTTAAAGATGTAGATTCTTTTGTAACTTTATTTAATTCTATGGTGCGCCCTCATCTCGAATACGGCAGTGTCGTTTGGTCCACTTATGGAATAACGTCATCCATAAAACTCGAATCTGTACAACACCGTTTTTTGCAATTTTTATCGTCTGTTATGGGTAGACGTATGCACCTCACTGATCACGATTACGAATCTTTGATGTCACTGTTAAAAATTCCTACACTCGCATGTCGCCGTGCCATGTTTGGCCTTTTATTTATTTATAAACCTATTCATGAGGAAATCGAGTATCAACAATTACGTTCGTTGATTGTGCTCCGCATTCCGTCGAGACCAACAAGATTGCATGAACCCTTTGCCATCGCGAGAAAGCGAACGGATGTTGGACGAAAAGATACCTTCGTCAGAGCTCTGATTCTCGCAAACGGGCTTTCGCAATCTGAATCACTGAATTAGGGCTGTGATATACTGCTATTCTAGGCTTATCTAATATACGATTGTTTACTTTATAGAACTATTCATGATTATATTTATATCGATCTCGTTATCTTTTTTATACACTTTGTCAAATCAAATTATTTATACATAACTATTAATTCTACTCTGTATTCTTTTTCGAGGGTATTCCCCGTATAATAAATAAATAAATGAGTATTTAATGTAAAATTGAAGATGGCACTTTGAGATTAACATCTGTAGCGAAAATCACTGGTTAATATTATCAACTCCTTAAAAAATTTAGTGATTTTGCTTCGGATGGAGATAGTAATATGTATAATTTTTAAGAAGCATACCCTTTTGCGTACAAGTATTTCGACCACTTTTGATACGCACAAAAAAGGCGTCCGAAAATTAAAAGTGTGGTTTGTACATCTTTTTATTTAACAATGTAGTGCTTTATGAAGTACCCTTACTTTCGTTAAAGTCTAATGGCAGTGCCAACTTAAAAGCCGAACAACGCTCACGGATTTCTCGACCACCAATAGCAACTTGAGCTAATAGTTCCATTCCAAGGCATATGCCAAAAATTGGATAGTATTTTCCATTTTCATTTGCCTCTAATGCAGCGTTATACAGCATTTGCCCTGCATCACCAAATCCACCGGTCTCAT